CGCTCCGTGGAGAAGTCAAGCTGTGTGCTCTGACACCGCAAAACCGCCGCACACGCGGCGCAGCCAAGAGTCCGGTAAAACCTCAAAGACGATGAGTATGCAGAATGTGGTATACAGTACCCATAGGCTCCTTAGTAGTTCCTTTTTGGGATTACCTTATAGGATCCTAAATACCGGCCACAAAAGGGAACCACTAAGGAGCCTATGGCAAATTAAATGATGAAGTGGCAAGCAAGAAGCAAGGATGACATCACAGACTTCACGCGTGAGCATTCGCTGTACGGTGAAGGGTCTATAGAACATGAGAAACTAGCTGAAGAGCTCCCTAAACCCCAAAGCCTAATCCGTAAACCCTTAACCCTAAACCCCTAAACCCTAAACCCTAACCCCTTTTGCAACAGGCTTTCCACTTCGCCCTAACCCCTAAACCCGAAACTCTAAACCCCTAAACCCGAACCCGCCAGGAAGCCTTTTCTGACGAAAGTCATGAGCACCGAGTAAAGCTGGTAGGGAAGGATCATGACCTGTTCTTCTAGGGTTTAGGGTTTATGTTTCAGGGTTTAGGGTTTAGGGTTTAGGGTTCAGGGTTTAGGGTTTAGGGGTTAGGGTTTAGGGTCTAGAGGAGCCGTCAAGGCTTTCTTCAGTCCTTTCGGATGACAAACCCTACAACATCCTAAACGCCAAAACCCTAAAATCCCAACCCTAAACCCAAGTACTGGCTCAATCGCAACTTCGAGGTATGGATCGGATGTGAGGTCCTCGTCAAGTATGCATATCCCGTCATAGTCTCTTCCCATATACATATATATATATTTCTACATATGTACTATAACATATCCCAAGCCCCTTGCAGGGTTTAGGGCTTCATGGATACTGCTCCGAAGGGGGATCGAGATCATGACCCGAAGCCCGTTTGCTTCGGCTTAAGTAGTAGCTGGGCTCCAGCGCGTCGTTGACTGACGAACAGAAAAAACCATGACAAACCCTAAACCTTAAACCCTAAGCCCAGAACCTTCAGGTGTGAGCTGGTGCGATTAAGGGCGGTTGAAATGAATCACCCAATAGGAAGGGAATGAAGCGCACTTGATGGATCGTAGGACCCAGACAGTAGGCTGCAGTGGAGGCTGCAGGTATCCTGTCTGAGGTTGTAATCCTAGCAGCAATCATAACTGCAGTCCTAGTACGCAGTAACAATACCCGTCATATATCATAACTGTAATACTAGTACATAGTATTCACAACCGTCATAGGCCAAAACTGTAATACAAGTACATAGCGATCATAATCATAATCATCGTCATGAGACTACGACTGAGCCTCTAAGTCGAAGAGTGCAGGGGCGCGTCGGGTCCCTATTATTCAACGCCGGGCCACGGTTTGGGGTTCAGGGCTTAGGGCTTAGGGGTTTGGGGATCAGGGGGGTTTAGGGATTTGGGCTTAGGGCTTAGGGTTCAAATCCCAAATCAATTTGCGAGGTCCACGAACAAGGACAAGCCGCCAATGCTACACTCTTATAAACCCTGAGCCACCTTTTTGAGCCGGTAATAAAGGCCGAGGCCGGTGACCGGAGAGAGAGCGTTCTTCCTGAACTGCCTAATCCCATATGTCCTAAACCTAAACTGAACTCCTCCACCCTCTACCACCCTTTCCCCCTAAGCTCATGAAATGCTCCTAAACCGCAAGATCTTCGACAAGAGCATGAAATCCTCCTAAACCGCAGGATCTTCGATAAGAGCTCTGCTTCCTTGAGAACCTGAGGCTCCAGCGAAGTAAAGATCCATCCTTGGATGTTCAGCACGGACATGCGGTCGGTCATCCTAAAAGCCTTTCTAGTAAGTAGCCAGCGATCAAAAAGAGTCATAGCAGTAGTTGGAAGCCTTTCTAGTAGCGATCAAAAAGGGGTCATAGCAGTAGTTGTACAATCCCTTATTTTCAAGCGCCAATATAACCACATCCATGGCTAAAACACCTGCATCATGTTCACCCCCACATTCATTCGCCAGGATCACCAATCACCAACGTCACTATCGTCTCATCATCGGCATCAAGCTCATACCCCGACTCTTCACCACCGTCGTAGCAGTTGTTACCACAATCAGCAATATGATTCCCATCGCCATACTGCAATTATCATGGACGCTGATCTGTTCAACCGTCGGCACCACCAACAACAACATCACCATGGCCACCATCACCATCAGCACCGTGAACATCACAGAAGCCATAATCCATCATCGCCGCTCGTCGTCATCATCATCACCATCGTCATCATCGTCATCACCATAGGACCATAGTCATCATCATCACCACCACCACCATCATCAGCATCAGTCATTGGCACCGCGATTTCGGGCACCAGACAGCCAAGACATAAGACATTGACACCTTAGGCACATAATCAGTAACTCACTGCTGGTGAAGTATATTCGAGCGGGGATGCAGGCTTCTTTCTGAAACGGTTCCCCGCTCTCGAATACTTCCTGGCCAAGTTGCTGTGGACACGGAAACCAGAGCAAGAGCCAACACAAACTTCCTGCACCCGAAGATTCTCGAGGCTAAACCAAGAGATCACACATCCTAAGCCCTGAAACCCTCTTCACGGCCGTAAACCCAAAGCCCTCCAAGCCTAAACCGCAAAACATCCTGCATCTCGGATCTTGTACCCAATCGAAAAGATCACACTTAAAGACCCAAGCAGCCTGAGAACCTGTAATGCGCAAGGATCTAAGCGGTCTCTGTTTCTAGTTTCTACCCCAACTTAAAAACACTGCACTCCCTAGGCCTTAGACGCCTGGACCCTGAACAAACCAGTGACGGCTGCTGAGCCAAGAGACCCAGGACCAGCCAGGATGATCGTGACTGTTGTGTAGATCTGCCTTAGCACTTACGGCTCCAGGGTGCACCCAAAAGGCTCCTAAGTAGTTCCTTTTTGTGGGTTTATATTTAGAATCCTATAAGGTAATCCCAAAAAGGAACCACTAAGGAGCCTATGGGTAGGCTTAGGAGTTCGGAGCTGGGGGAGGTCGAGGGCCGCCACAGGGACTTCCTAGAGTAATGTAGGAACCTGACTAAGAAACCCTGGCCCCTAGAACCCCCATTTTATTAGGATTCATATAACATGCCCAAAGAAAGACCGGGGCTTCTGAATCAGGTTCCTACATTAGCGGGCAACTTGGGGCTTCACGCTTTCAGAGTGCTTAAACAACATGCATTGAACTACCATACCCGATTCTTTGGCACCCATAGGCCCCTAAGTAGTTCCTTTTTGGGGTTACCTTATAAAATTCTAAATATAAACCCTAAAAAGGAACTACTTAGGGGCCTATGGGTGACGAACTCTATGTTCGGCTTCGTGCCAAGACCCTGCAGGACCATAGGTCAGGGTAGCTTGATTGTAGCCTATGCGTAAAGCGCACATCTGCATTCAGCTTTCTGCTGCAATAATTCTCCAGACGGTTCAGGATTTGAGGGTTTATGTGCTTTGGGTTTAAGGGGTTTAGGGCTTTCAAGTTGAATAAATGTTGGTGTCTATTGAGTGCGCATATGCTCGCTGAAGGAGGGTATAGAGTTCTGCCGAATATCAGAGCTTCACTGTGACAGCAACAATGAATATGATGGTGTTGACAACCAAAGCCTTCAGCACCCTAAACCCTAAACCACTCTTGACCCGCCGAGCCGATTTGCATGTTCCTATATTGCATACTTCAACAAGGCAGTCCTTTTATTCTGAGTTTGGGCTCTCCGGCCCAATCTGGCAATATATTTCCGTTGTGAGATGCAAGACTTTAAAGCCTTAGGGAATCTCCGAGTCATGTGTGTACATGCTATGTATGTATATATATATATATTTGTTTATTGATATTTATATTTATACTTATATGTATATTTATATCTATATTTGTATTTGTACCTATATAGACAGATGATATGTCTATATGTATGTTTATCCACACACAAACACACAGGGGTCTTATTGAGTAGACGTGGGCTGGCGGGTGCATTATACAATTAAGTATATATGGGGACCAACAAGGGCATGCTCTTGAAGCTCTTGCTAAACACTCAGACCTCTGTAGTAGGCCAAGATCGGGCCCGCACACGGCTTTACCAACTTTAGCTACTAACTGCCCAAGCATAGCCAGAAGGGCAGCATGTCGCTTCGTAAGCACCCCAAAACCCTAAACCCCTAAAGCTCCAAACCCTAAATCCCTAAACACTACTTCCATGCAAACCCAGGTGCGATGCCGAGTACCAGGTCCGGAACATGGATTCCACCCACTTCCTGGGGGGTTTAGGGTTTAGGGGTTTAGGGTTTAGGGTTTAGGGGTGCAGGGTTCAGGGTTTAGGCTGTAGCTTGGGATGCGCCGATGTGTTTTCAACATCCAGCCCTGCAAGATTGACTTATGGTTGGAAACCCTAAACTCATCTCGAAGACGACCAGAAATCCCAAAAAGTGCTCCAACCGAAACTACCTTGTGCTCGTAGTGATCAGTTCTTCTTTGCAAAAAGCCTGCCTTCAGCACTATACGGGGTATAGTCTGCGGAAGGAAGCATTCCGGCGCCCCCTTCTCCCCCGAAAGATGATCTGGTGTGAAAATTGAACTCCCTTACGCAAGGATCCCAGTACGAGGAATCTGTGAGACTTCCGGGAGGATCGCTGAGAGAGGGAAGTTCCGGTTTCTGGTTTCTTTGGGCTTTGCCGCGCAGGTCGGATCAAGGGAGGGCGAACTTCAGAGCCCAGGATTCTGAAACAACCTCACTTGAAGCTGGCCGTCAATTAGCTGACCTCAAAAAAAAGCCCCAAGAACCCAAATCGAGAAAGCTAAGCAGCCTGTAGCCTGCATTCTGTTGCGAACGGAGATCTGGGAGTGAGACGCAAAGCCAGTTTTGGCCGAGTGGTCGGGCGCGGCAAGGCGGTAAGCGCAAGCTAGGCTCTATTCACAGCGCAACTGCCTGTGCTGAAGGTTTGGGCTAAAATCGGGTTCGGCAAGCCAAGCAGCGGGCAATGCTCCCAGTAGGGCATCGTTGACACCTCATCCGAAATGACAGAGATCTGGGGGACTTCCTTTGAAGAACAGGTCCAAGAGAAATCGAAACGAAGCCTCTAGGATCTAATTAATGGTCATGCGCAAGGAAGACGGAAGTTCGTTTTGTCTAACCCAAACTTAAACGCCTGACTACAAACCTCTCCCAGCCAAAGAATCCGAAGCACGTCTACAGGAGATAATTACACAACGGTGGTGCACTCATTTCTCCTTATGGCGGTAGTACTTAGCGTCCTTTCGGTAAGCCCTGAATTACTAAACCCTCCGCGCTCAACTTCTACCAACACCCTAACTGCACTCCATTCCAGCAGAATGCAAAGGTGCCTCCAATCATTGTACGCTGTACAGATGCTTGTATTAAGGGAACCCTAGGGGATGGCACTGGTAATCAGCTGCTCAGCTAGGCTTCAATAACTGCTACAGTTCTTCAGCGCTCCATTCAGGGGGAGAGGGGTAGCCCTTGTAGAACCCGGGAAAGGAGCCGTGGCAGAACCCATGGGCTGCCAATCTTGCGCTTGAAAGATCTCGCCACCCTACAAGTCTAGGACATTTTCAGGCGGGTAGTTACCGTTAAAAGGAGCCTTATAGAAGGGCATTTTTTCCTTTATAGAAGCCTTGTAGAGAAGCCCTATATACCCTAAACTCCCCACCTGTAGTTTCCTTTCATACAAGCCAAACCACCGGAGTAACCACATTGACTTTAGAACCCTGAACAGGCTCCTGGTAAAAGAAAAAAACCTAAACTCCCGATAGACCGAGTCACCAGAATCTCAAATCTACCTTCGGGTTTGGTCTAAGGGCCTGCAAAAACTAGCCTATGGTGTAGTCTAATCGTCTAAGCTACAGACCGAGGCGCCGGACTCTCTAAGCTGTTTTTGTTGACAGGAGGCTTGGTAGCTTAAGGTATATAAACCCTAGCCTAGACCCTTGCCTGGACCCCACAAGTATGTAGAATAAAATGGCCTTTTATGGGTATTGGGCCAATATTTTACCTACTGTGCGGGGGCTTAGGTCCCCCCTGAACCCTAACTAAACCCTAAACCCCAAACCCAAAGACCCTAAACCCAAAAGACCCTAAACGCCCTAAACCCTAAACCCCAAACCCAAAGACCCTAAGACCCTCAACCCTAAACGCCCTAAACGGCCTCAAACCCGAGCCGGCCTAAACGCCCTAAACGCCCCAAAATCCCAGCCACTAACCCCAAACCCAAAGACCCTCAACGCCCTCAAAAATCCGAGCCGCCAAGGTCTCGTGGGTGTCATCCCGGAGCCAGGCCGTCGCCAGGTCGGCGAGCCTCATCTGAGCGAAGACGGAGAGCCTGAGCTGAGAGAGGGCTTTGAGGGCTTTTAGGGGTGTTTTAAGGTTTTAGGGGTCTTTAGGGTCTTTAGGGTTTTTAAGGGGTTTTAAGGGGTTTTTAGGGGTTTTTAGGTGGTTTTTAGGGGTTTTAGGGTTTTTAGGGGTTTTAGGGTTTTAAGGGGTTTTAGGGGTTTTTAGGGGTTTTTAGGGTGTTTTTAGGGGTTTTAGGGTTTAGGGTTTTTAGGGTTTAGGGTTTAGGGTTTAGTGCTTTTAGGGGGTTTTGGGGGCTCCTTTAAAGGGATCTATAGGGATCCTAGGCTTCCTTTAAAGGGTACTATAGGGTTTAGGCGTTTAGGGCTTTTAGGGTTTAGGGCTTTTAGGGGTTTAGGGTTTAGGGTTTAGGGCTTTTAGGGTTTAGGGTTTAGGGTTTAGTGGTTTTAGGGGGTTTTTGGGGCTCCTTTAAAGGGATCTATAGGGATCCTAGGCTTCCTTTAAAGGGTACTATAGGGTTTAGGCGTTTAGTGCTTTTAGGGTTTAGGGTTTAGGGCTTTTAGGGGTTTAGGGTTTAGGGCTTTTAGGGTTTAGGGTGTTAGGGTGTTAGGGTGTTAGGGTTTATAGGGTTTAGGGTTTAGGGGTTTTAGGGTTTAGGGTTTAGGGTTTGAGGGTTGAGGGTTTAGGGCTTAGGGCTTTTAGGGGTCTTTAGGGCTTTAGGGTTTAGGGAGAAAGTTTAGGGCTTTTCGGGGCGGTTTTAGGGCTTCAGGTGTTTAGGGAGAAAGTTTGGGGCTTGAGGGGGTTTTTAGGGCTTTAGGTATGTAGGGTGATAGGGTTTTGAAGGCTTATAGGGCATTGGCGGGTGTAGGGCTGCAGGGGTTTAGAGTTTTAGGTCCCCAGGGTCTGTAAGGTGTTTTAGGGCTTCTGCGGTTTGGGGCATTAGGGGTTTTCAGGGCTTCTAGGGTTTAGGGTTTTAAGGCTTTCTGTTGTTAGGGTTTAGGGCTTTTTTGCCTCCCACCTAGCTAGGACAAGGAAGGCTTGGGGTGTGGGGAAATTAGGCGAAGTTATGCACTTCTGCAGGAACCCCAGAGGAAAAAACCCTAAACCCTAAAAGCCTAAACCCCCAAACCCTTTTGATAAGGCTTACGAAAAACGACATGATTTCCAAGGGGTTCTCCGGCTTCGAGGGGTGTGAGCGTCGAGGGGCCTCGGTCTCAAAAGACTGATTCGGGAGGATTTAGGGGGTTAAGGGTGTGCGGGGGTGTAGTGTTGGGGGATTTAAATGTGGGGTTCGAGGTCGTCTTGAGCCCCGAACCTTAAGGGTCCAAGTACCTAATAATCATAAACTCATCTGAATACTAACCTACAAACCTACTATCCGTAACCCAAGTACATGATTATTAGGTCCTTTGGACCCTTAGGGGAATTCTAAAACAGCCTAAAGCCGAAGCCGTCATCTGCAGTTGCCTTGACAACACTGTCAAGTTCCGAGCTTATTGCAAGGAACAGTTGCGCTCAGCTGCTGAGGAACACATCATCAGGATTCGCGGCATTCTGCTCGTGTGTGGAACCCAAAGGCCTGATTAAAGGCTGCAACCTCAAGCGAGTAGAGCTTTAAGAAACCGCTGCGAGCTATTGCAGTATTGGAATCTTCTTGGCGCGGTGCCAGGATGTGTGAAGAGAAAAGTCTCATCTGCAGCCAACCTGTTTATCGCTTCGGCGTCGGCCTCACGAGGGCTTGCGTCGAAATCCAAAACCCCGAACCCGCCACACGAAAATCGATGCCGTGGTGCTGGCACAGTGTCATCATCGCCCACCTGATGCGCTGGATGGAGAGGCGGGCTGAGTGAATATTTCATTAGAATGTCTTTTTCGAGTAGTCCAGCGGTGCGTAGACACAGGGTTGCCGCTAAACTTGAAGCTGGTGTAAGGTTTTGGATAATGTTTGTTTCACTGTTTAGGGTTTGGGGCTTGGCATAGGATGCATAGGTATTTGTCGGTCTGTGGGTCTTGAATTGAAGCGTTACATGAGCTGGACTCGCTTGTCGAATGCCTTGATGCCAAGCCGCAGTGGCCAACCTGCCATTGCGTTGTAGCGGTTGATGGTCCATGCGCACAAGAACCTTGGCTTCTTGGAGAACCCTCAACCCTAAATCCTAAACCGTAAACCCTAAACCCAAAACCCTTAAATAAGCCCTAAAACAACAGATGTTAGGAGCTGGGCAATGAGAGGCCGCCAAACCAGCACCATGGGCTTCAAACCCTACAGCGGGTTTTGAATTTAGAATACGATTTTTATAGGGCTTCCTTGAAAGAGTTTCGGGTATAAGGGTTACTGTGATGTGAAGGGCTTCGTACAGGGGGCCAAAAATCGTAGAATAGGGCTTTGTGGCAAAATGCACAGAGTATACAGAATTGCCTGGAAATGATGTAAGCTTCTATAGATGCTATATAGTGGACATACACCTCCGGCCCCACACAATTTACCAAGCAACACGAAGACGAGGCGGCTAACGAAGATCAGGTTGTGAGCACGCCTTGGCAGCCGCTGCTCTTAGTTTTTGGGCTTGGGCTTACGGTTTTTGACACTCACACTCGGACAAGCCGGGCAAGGTCTAAAGGGTTTCAGCACTCACACAAGGTCTATGGGGTTCAGGGATTAAGGTTTGCGTGTACGCGGTTCAGGGTTGGGGGTACCAGGTGCTGAGGCCAATCATTGTGGATCTCAGCCCTAAAGCAAACCCCTGAATAACTATAATTACCCATAGGCCCCGAAGTAGTTCCTTTTTGGGATTACCTTATAGGATTCTAAATATACACCATAAAAAGGAACTACCTAGGGGCCTATGGGTAAGATCATCTTGTAAGACGCCCCAGGGAAGCGCGGAAGGGCCTGGGACTTCACTACTGCAGGATCGAATCAGTTTTTTTTAGGGTTTGGGGTTTAGGGTTTTTCCTGATCTGAGATCGGTGGGGCGAAATTATGGCGAAATGACACGCGTTTGCGGCAGCGGGGCCACTTTTGCATTTAAAGGGCTTCTCCTCGAGCGATACTGAGGAGCGGCCCATGCCCCATGCCATAAGCTGAGTGAAACATGCATGTCCCGTTGCATTTTGCAATGCACATGCTCCAAAGTTGAATACCCATAGGCTCCTTAGTAGTTCCTTTTCGTGGCTGGTATTTAGGACCCTATAAGGTAATCCCAAAAAGGAAATACTAAGGAGCCTATGGGTATTCACATAAATTGCCGTGCAAGTGCTTGGCAGCTTGCAGGTACAACAAAACCTTGCCTCGAGCTAGTGACGAGAAACCCACAAACAAAAGTACCCAGAGAACCCAGTACACCTTAATCAAAGAATATACCTTAAATTATAGGGGCCTGTATATTATGGTTTTAAGGTATGTTATGGTATATTCCTTGGGTATTAAGTTCCCTGGGTACCGCCTGTCTACACCAAGGAAAGCTCCTATAGGTTCTATCAGGTCCCCCAAGCGTCTACAGTTCGGTGTTGAGCTGTCTACGGCGTGAGGTGGCTTCTTGCGCGCTTACGGTTCTGACGTTAGCTCAGGTAAGCTTTATGAAGGGTGTAGGATTCAACTTAAATGAAGGTCTTGGTAGCACCCTAAACACAAACCGAAGCCGAAAGACTTCAGTCAAATGCCAGTCCTATATCCGCTACCGAGCATCGCCGGCCGAACATCCATTAAGTGCAACTCTCCATCCATGCTAACAGGGAGGCCCTAGCTTCAAACCCCTCCATTATCCCAGGGTTCAATCACATATATCATATCTTAGGAACCTGCTAAAGAAACCTTGGGACTTTATTAAGGCTCTTCATGTGGATCGTGATATTTCGGGGTTGCAGGACCCGGGTTCCTACATTAGCCTTGGCCCTCTCACTAAACCCTCAGAGCTAAACCTTGAGCTCGAAGCCAATAGCAGAAGCAAGTAGGTGTTAAGGAGAACTTTAATATGGGCAATTCTCTAAATTAGGGTGGCTTTTAGGTCCCCAACATAGCACGGCACCCTTATTAAAAGGACCCCAAAAGCCCATAATATGGGGGGTCATTGGTAATTTTCAACAGCGTTTTGGGGTAGGGGTATGGTGAACTATGGTGATCTTGCGACTTGGTGGGGCAGTAATAGCAGTTAATTATTCAAGCCCCGTAGTATCAATGATTAAACAATAATGTATGCCCAATCAATTGGGGTACCTGCAACCTCAAATATAACTTAACCGACTGAATAGGAGCATAAAGCCAAACCCGTAACCCAAAACCACTCAAGCCCTAAACCCTCAAACCTTCCGGAATCCTAGGCTACATGATCCACTTGGCTCAAAATAGCACTGTTCTTGGAGACCCGTGGACCCATTGAGCAAAACAGGAGCAGAACACCCAGATTCCACCAGCCCTTAAAACTGTCACAAAAAAAAACCCAAAGCACAAAAAACTGTCTAACATCTGGGGCCATCTCAGGCTAAGCCGATGAGGTCCGGCGCCCAACCGCCGGGAAGCGCGGTGGCCGGCCGTCCTCGGGGCTTGGATGGCACCTCCGCAACCCAAGGAGGAGTACGTGAACCTTGGCTTCAGGTTGTAAGGTTGTTGGGCCTGGGTTTGGGAGGTGTTGTTGGTGCTTTTTCAGGTGTCTGCAAAACACATCGCAACTTACACGACCCTAACAGGGACCCTTCCGTAACACACTCCAGAGTCAAACGGGCCGAATGCGGGCACCCCTGCGCCACATCTGCTTCAAGCTGAGATCCGGGCTCGTTTCGGTTTAGGGTTTAGGGTTTAGGATTTAGGGTTTAGGATTTGCGGCTTAGGGTTTAGAGGGTTTAGGATTTAGGGTTTAGGGTTTTGGGATTTAGGGTTCAGGGTTTTAGGCGTTGGGGTTTAGGGTCATGCCGGGTGCAAGCTGTGGCATACAAAGTAACCCTGTTCGGCCTGTGCGGCTTCCTCAACCATACATCCTGAAAATGCTGTAAATCATACACCCTGAACCCTAAACCCTGAACCCAACCGCAGAATCCTAAACCCTCGACCCTCAATCATAAAGCCGGTGCAAAGTATGAAAGGCAGGTCAAAGGAAGCAAACCAAGAACAAAGTCAGCCGGCCAAAAACAACTAATTAAAGACACCCGCCCCTGCCCCCCCCCCCAAACAAAAAAACAAAAGTACCGGCTAGAATAAGCAAAAAAGCGCATGTTGCAGGCATGCCGGTTCAAACTGGACTCCACATCAGGTGTTTAGGGGTTCAAGGCTTGGGGGTTTGGGGTTGAACGTGTCCAACAAGAATGGTCTTTGTCCCTAAAGCCTAAGCCCAAAGTGCTTGTAGCTTGTTTCGAACTTCATGCTCGGCTGTTGCATAGCAGGGTAGCACTTGGTGCACAGATTCTGTCAATCGGGCTAGATGCCTGAGCTTTGCGTTAGCCTTTGTTTGCTAATGCAGACAGAGATGCGGCTCACTATAATATCCCAAACTCACCAGCATTCTGCCCAGAGTGCCCTGCAATACATCATACTCCCTCAAAAAAACCGTAGCAGTATTGTTACATCGTCACAGAGGGCACCCAACAAACGGTGACGGACCGGCTGCCACCAAAGGGCAGCTGCCGGCAGGCGCGCGATTCTTCTCCAGGTAGCGCTTTCGGAGGAAAGCAGCATAGTCTCCATGCCAAGTCACAGGTCCTGCAGAGCTGACAGCGTGGGTTTTACCATCGGGTTGCGGATTTTAGAGTCTAAGGTTTATAGGAACACGAACGGACCCCGAACTCTAAGCTACATCAAGCCCAGATCCGAGGGACCCTCCAGCTTAGTGTCGGGCGGGGATATGGAATGCGTCGGGCAGAGGCTGAAATGTTCAGCGCTTCTATCCCTTGTGCTCGATCTTGGAAGAATCTTCTATAGGCTTAAGGGTTGTGTAAGGTTTACTCAGGCTGGGGCGGGTGCAGTCCTGACATTTGTGAGGGCTGCACGCCCCAGCGTCGAAGAACTACTCTGAAGCTAGAGTTCCCCCTAAGCTCCAAACCCCTAAACTCCCGAATCCGGGGTTTGGAGCTGTAGGGCTAGGGTCACTGAGGTTGGCTTCGCATGCAGGTACACTACTCAAAGCAGGAATGTAAAGAATAGACTGCCCTACTGCGAAAAACCAATCTAGTTTGCATCGAGCCTGCATTCTCCGTCAATGGAGTGATCGTCAGCAGGTCTACTGCCAGCACCCATGCAGCCTCACTTCTCCAGAACCACACGAAATATAGAGGTCTATACCTTCGATCTAATGCTACCTTAAATTAAAGGAATCAGCAAAAAAAGGGAATGTACCGCAGACCCTAAACCTTAAGTCCTAAAGTCCCGAACCCTACTAAGCCCCAGCTAGAAGCTCTAGAGACCTCATAAGCCTGCTCAAAACAAATACCTATGTAAATAGTCTTAATTGAACCCTTAAAAACCCGAAGAGCCCTGTACCAGACGCCCTCTAAATTTTGGTAGCAATGCCTCTAGTCACTATATAACTATAGACTAGTCTTACACCCCCCCCCTCCAAAAAAAAAAGAGAAAAAAAGCCCTAGAAGCCTTTTTTCCACAGGCTTGAACTGAGCTCGCCCGGCCAAGTCCCTCACTAGAAGCCTAAACCCTAAACCCTAAACCCGGCCCTTTCAAATCATGGCAGCATGTTCGTTGTCCATGTCAGGGCCGCAGTATCCACGTACGGACCTGAGGGCTTCTCCTGATGAGTCGAGAGACGAAGCTCGGGGCTTCTTGGGTTTTCGGGTTTCGGGTTTAGGGGTTATAGGGTTTAGGGCTTCGGGGTTTTGGGTTTAAGGCTTAGGGGTTTAGGGCTTATAGGGGCTTAGGCTTAGGGGTTACGGGTTTAGGGTAGGTGCAAGCAACTAGACCAGCTTAGGGTTTTGAAAGGGTTGTAGCAGGTGTTGTTTTTTTCACATAAAGGTTCTATCAGCTTCTATAAGAGTTAATGGCTTCTAGAAAAGTGTGTGTGTGTGTATATATGTATATATACATCTTATATATATATATATGTGTGTGTGTGTCATGTGGATGTAATGCTTCCTTCTTAGGCTTGGGGGTTCGCGGATCCCGAAAATGTGCGCCCAAGCAGAGCGTACCCGCACTCTCCTAGTAGGGTTTAGGGTTTCGGGGTTTAGGGTCTGTTGACTTTTTTTGGCTAGATTACCGATTGTACCAGCCTAAAGGAGCACGGTAATCATGCAAAACGGCATTGCAGCGGAAAGCACATATTAAATTGAGCCGAAGTATCTTAGGGGCCGGAAGCCGCCACCAGCCAGGGCTGCCTTAATGATAGCCTCCCGTTTGCGCCAAAGGTCCCAAAGCGAGTTGCTCGGACCCACGGTGAGCCTTTCCTGGGGTGCCGTGTGGACTAAAGGCAAAAGCGAAGACTGAGAACCACGAAGATTTCATGGGTTTAGGGTTTAGGGTTGAGGGAAAGAACCCTAAATGCCATGAGCACCATAACCGTTGGACCCTGCACCCGAAGACCCTAAGCGTCTTTTTCCC